CTTTTTTGTTCTATTACTACAAACGACAATTCACTGCTACTTACTTTAAAGTCTTTTGTAGTTGGAAGAACACTGATTTCAGCAATTATGTGCTTTGAACTTACAAGTAGAGTCTAAAAGCTGTTTTTGTGTTGTACTATGATTCGAAATTATAAGTGGCGCAGCTTTTTTATGACTTTATGGATGGCAAAAATAATTATATTAAATTTCAGTTATTAGTCCCGGAAATCATTTTAACCAGCTGAATCTAATGAAGTATCAGTTGTGGTGTATATCTTAATTATTAAATTTGTAATACGGTTAAAAACATAAAAATACCTTCTGGTATATTTAATAAAATGTCGTTTACGCTCAGTTGTTGAAATGACTATAAAACAGTGCTAGAATATGAGAAGTGCTGAGTTGAACAAAAAGATATATTTGAAATGTTAATTCTGTCGGTAGCGCAGAACTGCCGCAAAATCTGTCACAGATTTCTGTTTATCTTACACGTAGCTCTCAACTGCGGTATGCATTTTCACTTTTTCCAATCACTAAAATGTTGTTGTTGGAGTAACTGAAGAGAATTTGAATTTACTCTTACTAAAAAATTTTTAGATCATTTTTGTCAAAAAGATGAACGCTCTTTCTTTGCAGTTTGTAGTAACAATATGACTGCAGTTGAAAAAGTGCCTAGGTTTTCATCTTTGAGAGCAAAATTTATGATTTGAAACCAGGTGTAAGACAAGCCGACAGAAAGGTGATTTTAAAAGCAAAAAAATTGTAGAGCTTCTAATCATTACATAAACCAAAAATAAATTTTTTTTGGAAATAACTGATTGTTACAAATATTCCGAACGAATGCTGATCGCTATATGATAGGCAGCAATATGGCAGAAATTATCATTTCTCTACATTAGTATTTTAAAGAAAGGTTGAGAAAAAAAGTTTGCTGAATCACTATTTGTCAAGGTGAACTTCATTAGTTGTGAAAAAATTTGCACTGTTTCTGATAAACTTTGAATTTCAATTTTCATTTCGTGTGCTGTTAGTTTCCAGTTTACTTCATAGAAATCTTTTGTATTTTTATTCAATTTTTTTTT